GGGCCTCTGACTCTGGCTCTGACTTTGGCAGTTGGGAGTTATGAACTCACCTGCGGAATGCTGGGCAAAAACCAGCCCGACAGCCCCTCCATAGTTGTGGCCAAGTTCTAATGAAAACCTAATTACAAAATCAGCCAATACTCTCAAGACCCCGGGACACATAATTAAGGTGCTCACTTGACTTGTGTGTGTTTTCCCTCGGTGTCTCCAATTTCCACTACCATTTCCCGATCCCGATTCCGAACCCCTCTCTATGGCGATGAAAAACGCATTTAAAAGCCACATTAATGACGCAAAAGCAAACACGGGCGGCCGGGGAGCTACCACTTTGGTAAAATAGGAAATTGCTGCGTCTGCGTTCGGCTGCTCTCCAGATTCTGGTCTATCTTATATATTTTTTGTCCAGTTCCCGACAAAAACGGTTGCTGCCTCGAGCTGCCTTCTAGCTTCCAGCTCCAGGCTGCAGCGTTTTCAGCGCATTTTTAGTTAATTTACCAGGAAAAACATTTGAAATTCTTAAAAAAGTCGCAACAAGAAGTCGGCGGCTGAAAAAAGTCACATCGCAAAGTTGTCTACACAACGCCTAACTAAAATACTCTTATTTGGAGCGAGTATGATGGTTTTAATGCCAAGCTAGTCATTGAGATTAATTAATAAAATACGGCTATTAAAATGGAAGCTTAGTATAACATTTAGATATAGTTAGCATACCGATAGATAAAAATGATAGATGAGTGTAGGTAGAAAGAGGTAGTTATTCAATAGATAGAAAGATTACTAATCAAAAGGTATAAATTTAAGGTTAACGTATTATTTATAGTATAAATATTAAGCTTAGGGTATCCAGCTACTAAGCTCCATTTGTCTAAAGAGCATTTTGTTTGGTTGGTTCTAAAGCTGTTTCTTCTGTTATTTTTTCATTTCGTCGCCACCGCCGTTGCTGCATAGACTAAAAATCGCATTCGATCATTTATGGGATTTTATTTGGCGCGTCAGTGAATGTTGCTAAGCAATTTATTTATGACATTTTTTGCTTGGCCAGGCTTGGGTTTAATGTGGATGTGCCTGTGCCTGTGGACATCGATGTGGATGTGGATGTCGCCTCTTCGGCGGATTCGTGCAGCAATGTCTGCTACGCATCGAAATAGTTACAAGAGGCTCAGTGCTGCTCTTTGTTGCAAGTCTTACTGTTGCAAGTTCCATATTCATCAGATGCGACACTCTTCATTCTTGGTGTTGCTTGTATCTTTCTTGTATCTGGAGGAGATGCTTTGGCTTGTCTTGTAGTTTTTCGTCTGCTGCTTTTTCTATCGAAAAGCAAACTGGATTTCGTCTTAAACGCTTTGCTTTGCGGATTGCTGCCTCACTAGCATTGCTTCGGCTGTTGCAGTTGCAGTTGCAATTGCTGTTGATTTTGCCATTGCATTTTAATTAAGTGCATTTTAATGAGGCATCACGGTCCCCATCGATGCGACTTTGGAACATCATCAATTACACAAACGCATTTTAAATGGGCTGCCTGCCTCTGGCCGATCCAGCTGGGAACTACGAGCTGGTGCATTTGCCAGATTCATTTCAATTCAGTTTCCCCTTGGTTTTGGTTTTGATTTTATTCAGGTAATTATTAAGCCTATTTGGATTAGTCTCTGCCCTTGTGGCTTTGGGCCCTCTATTGCGGTTTTAGCCAGCAGATCGATGCAAAAAAGTGCTGCTAAAACAGTTTGTTTTAATTCGATTGGAGACTGCCGGAGTGTCCTGCCAGGATGTGTTTGCAAATCCCATATTGCTAATGCGAATGGATAGTTCTAGTTTTAAAAAGGGTATTTAAGACATAGATAGGTTACCCTAACAAATATATTATATTTAAAATGAAAAAAATTATTTATTTTATGCTTTAATCTTGGCAACTATTGGGCTCTAAATCTTAACCTCTTTATGGTAATATATACCACCCAAGCTTAGAGCATTTGCTAAACCATAAGACCCTTGAGTTCTGAGAGCATATCCTTGCCCACAAGTCCACCTCCTGCCCACTCTCATTAGCCCACCCTCGTCGGATTGCAACCCCTTCGGCCCCTCTTCACAGGCTGTTCAAAAAGTTTTTCCATTTTTTCAAATTGCGTAATTTTCATTAGTTTGCTGCATTTGCAGACAAATTAAGAGCTTCTGCCGATGTCCTGGCCCGGACTCGAATGCAACCCCTCAGAGTGCATCTAACCAAAGTGCGTATCTGTGAGATACGCATGCAAATAGCTGCCTGCAGCCCGGCAGGATGGCAGGTCGGCAGGACCACCCCGATGTGATGCGGTTTTTTCAATTTCTCTCTCTGAATTTTTTTTATTTACAGCCTTTTTGTACGCAAATAATTGTGAATTTTTTCCCCCATCCCTTTATGCCTTTTTTTTTTGTTATTGTTTGGTTTGGTTGGGAATCCAGTGGATTTTTTATTTTTATTTTTCTATGCTCCAGCGTACATATTTTTTATTTTTAATTAAAAGCGGAAGTAAAAGCTGGGGGCGAGGCGTCCGAGGGAAAGGGTTCTGGTTGGGTCTCTGGAAGGGTTTGGGTTCGGATTCGGATTGGTTTGGTTTGGGGACTTGTCAAGTGCGTGTGGGTGCGTGGGTGCGTTCATTTAGCTCCGTGTAGTGTTTTGCTAACAATGCAAATTTCAGGGCATTGTTGCTGCCACGGCTGCCACCGCCCCTGCCCCTGCCCCTGCCACCGCCACGCCACTTGCCACCCCACACTCGAGACGCATCAAATCATCAGCGGCGATTTCAGACATAGTCGTCATCTGATGAAATGTCAAATGCGTTTTCCCCATCACCCCCATCTCCCTAATCATTGCACTACAAACATGGCCAAATGCAAACAGTTAGTAGGGCCCGGCTACTGCTAATGCTGCTAACTGGTAACTGGTAGCTGCCTAAGCTGCGCAAACTAAACCAAACTCAACAACAATAAAAACATGGCAACAATTCACCAGCTGAAGGGTTTTTCAAATAACGAAAAAAAGGAAAAAAGCCAAAGCAGGGCAGCGGAAAAAGGGAAAAGTCAGGCGAAAAAAAGGATCGAGAAAATTAAAACAAAACAAACAGCAAACGCATCCTTAGCATCTGCAGCCACTGTGTACAGAGAGAGAAAATTATGGTCAAGAAGATACCATATAATAAGACATATAAATGACCAATCGGAGATCTTGGTCTGAGCCGCATCTTATAGCCCCCTGCTAGGCACGTCCTGTTGAGTCATTTTTTCTCTCAGTGGCGTCCTGAATCCCACATCATCCTTTGACTGTTCTGCCCTGCTTTGCCGGCTCTCTGTTCCACGCATGAAGAGATTTCGGTTTAGCTTTTGATTGACGAACTTGGCTCGTTGTTTGTCCCTCATCCTGAATATCCTTTTTCACCCAGTCCTGCCATACGCTGCCGCTTTTCACTCAAACTCATCAACGTCAGCGACGCATTCAAATCGTTTTGATGGACTGCCTCGATGGTCCTTCCCTTCCCTATCAAGCTCACGCAGTGCATCCTGGCACAAGAACAAAACAGCATCGAAAACAAAAAAAAAGGATATAAAAAAAGAAATTGAGAAATGGGTAAAAAACATGTGGACTGAGTCTGGCACAATATTTGTATTTTACGCTATTTTCACTGACGACTGCCATCATGTCTGAGTTGCCTCCGATTTGTGTGTTGCATGATTTGCAAGCCGATTTGCAACATTGTTCGTGTCAGTCAGCGCATTGTTGTTGATCGTCATCAGTGCCACCGCCGTGTGGCTAGAGTGGGTTGTGGGTGGTTTTTGGAACTGTGTACTAAGCACCGCCCCCACCGCCGTTTGTTTGCCCAGCCATTGTGCTGGCTCTTCCACTTTTTCTATATTTTTTTTTTTGCTGATTGAAAGTTTGTGCGACAATTGTTGCGGTTATAGGAAATGGCCCAGAGTCTTATTAAACAAAATGCCCCGTAAGCTCAAATTGTGCGGAAGGCTTGGGGCAGGATAACAGTGTAATTAACTCTTCATTTAGGTTTGTATTGATTTCATATTTTGAAGTAAGCCATTATCTTATCATGAACTCTAATATAAATCATACGCCCTGTTGAGCGCCCTAGACTCCTAATGAAATTCAGACAATAAGCCGACAAGCAGCTCCCTAAACACCTCTGGGCGCTTATCTAAAGTTTGTAATATTACAATCGCTTAAGCATTTCCACTGCAACGCCTTTTCACACTTAATTCGCCCCAAAGTATGCTACAAAATATGCTGCAGAGCCTGGCCGCTTCCATCGTTGCAATTAAATTAGCCATCCGAAAGTTGGCCATTTTGTGGCAGTTGGATCATAGTTCGGTAGGTGCACGGGGGAGGGGCGCTGCATAAACTGTTGCCCAAAAGTTTTAAGCTGCATTTGAGGCTTGCTGTTTCACACCCCACTCAGTTCCCCCCTCGACTTGCCCTCAGTCAGCTGGCAAAAGTTTCGAGTGGCGCTTGTCTTGTTTCATCTCCTCAGCTTTCATGGCGAATAATCTGTGACGTCAACTGCGGTTGGCCGGGTTCTCCGCAAAAGTTTTTGCATATTTTGCATCTGATATTTTGGCCACTTTTGGAGCGAGCTATTGCCAAACTCGTTGCCAAGGCCAACTTGTTGCATTTGGCAGCAGAGTGCCGGGGCATGTGTGAGTTGGCCTTGTGGTTGCTTTGTGTTTTGATAATTGGAAACACATTGGGGTCGTTAGTGTCACTTACATCTAATTAGCCCAAGGACCCTTCTGGACAAACGAGCCACAAAGGATTAAAAACTAAAACATAGTAACCGCAAAGTGTTTATTTTTTACGATGGCAAACACACACTAAAATTCTTTAGAAACAAAAGCAAATGTTTTGCCAACTAATAGGATTTACTATTATCAACAACCTAATTTAATAAGTTCCACTAGAACTAGAACAAAACAATTCCGATTTTCATGGGGCTTAGTTAGTCTTTACCTTAACTACGATAATGGCACACCAAGGGAAGTTCTCCAAAATCACCCAATTGCTTCTGATAGGAGCTTTGTTGTTTGCTTATTCGTCGGCAGAAGTCAAAAACCATTACATTTATGGAAAATACGTTAAGGATCTGAAGCGCTTCGATGCGTTACATAAAGCCCTGCTAGCTCCGAATGTTTCAAAGCTGGTGGTGTTCTCCAATAATGTGTGCGACGACTGCACCATATTCGAGGAGACCTTGCAGATTGCGTCCCGGAAAATAAAGGCGTGGGATCGGTTCGTACGAGTCTACTTCTTCGACTGCAGCCAGGAGACAAATGTGCGGGTGTGCCAAGAGTTCGACATCCGTAAAGAGCCATCTTTGCTCTTTTTTCCACCCCACTATACGGATATGACCAGGGGCATCGTACTCTCCACTACCGAACCCATAGCCCCCCAAGTGGCCGCCCAAGTGGCGATCAATACAAAGGAGGACAAGAAAGACGGCGTGAACTTTAAGCCCCTAACGGCAGGCGAGGATCTGAAGAGCCTCATCAAGAAGTATCTTTTGCTAATTTTCCAGAAGAACGACACGGAAGTGGGCACCATGACGCTCCTGGCGTTGTCAAACGTGCCCGAGATCACCGTAAGAATTGTCAAGGATGCGGCGGTGATGGAGAAGCAAGCTCCTGGCTTGAAGGTGGCTCTCTTCGATAGCCATTTGAAGAAAGTAAATTTGTCGTTTAAAGAAGAAACCAGTGAAGACATTGTGGAAAGTGTGTCAAAGTTGATATCGCGAAAAGCTCGGCGCCGTACAGGCATTGGGAAAACCCATTACTTTCAACCAAAAATGGTGGACACTATCGACGACTATTACCATGAGACGATAGAGATGGTCATTGACACCCTCAACGATAGATCCGTAATCTATCGCGCTGACTTGGAACAGGCTCTGATGAGGATATTGCACATGGAGATTCCCAAGATGCGAACTCCGAGCGGAATGCGGTTGGTGGCCCTTCGGAATTGGGTAAAGCTCATCTCGGAGGTGAACCCTCTTAACACGAAGGGCAGAACAGTGCTGAAGCAGTTGAACAAGTGGATGGAGGGCGAAAAGAAACCTTCGGGAGACCAGTTTCTGGAGACGGTGTATTCCCTGGAGAACGCCATCGGAAATGTCTTTAAGGGGCGGCACTACGTTGGCTGTGCTGCGACGAAACCCTTCCTGCGGGGCTATCCTTGCGCCCTGTGGGTTCTTTTCCACTTCCTCACCGTGGAGGCGGCCAAGGAGCCGGTTCCCTTTAAGCCCGGCTTTGTGATCCGCACCATTAGGGACTTTGTCCAGTACTTTTACTACGACTGCCCTTACTGCGCCAACGAGTTCATGAAAATTTCCAGGGGCATGGATCATGTGACTACCCATGAGGACGAGATCCTATGGCTCTGGGAAGCGCACAACAAGATGAACCTCAAGCTTGTTGGCGACGGCACTGAGGACCCCAAGTTCCACAAGGTTCAGTATCCCCCCAAGGAACTTTGCCATGAGTGCATGGATCAGACTTGGAACAATGCCAGTGTGCTGAGTTTCCTGACGAGCATTTACAACCTGAAAAGCTTGAGCTTCTTTGGACTACCCACCATGACAGGATACTAGTAGTATTTTCCCTATTTTTAAATGTTAAACAATAAATCGAATAAAGAAGTATTGTGTTCAAAACTTTGGTTCCACCTTCCATCCACCAAATTGGCTAAAGCGACACTAACTTCTGCTGCTTTAAAAAGAAACCACACCGTATAAAAGCCTTCAGTTTTTGTTAAAAGCCACAATGTGGACTACATTAGCTTTCAGTTTAATATTTTTTGTCACACTATCGAATGGCCAGCGAAATGAGCGATATTTTTCGCCATCTGTTTACAGGAACTCGGTAAACATTCAATGGCTGAACAGCTCGACCCTCCAGGAGGTCCTCGGAACACCGTCGCTGGCCAAACTGGTTCACTATATAAGTGGGTCCTGTGAAAAGTGCCGACAGTTCGAGTCAATCTATAAAAAGTTGGCTAAAGAGCTCAGAGACTGGCGACGAGTTCTAGGAATTTATGTAGTCGATTGTGATGATCCCAAAATGGCAAACGACGCCAATTGCCTCAAAAGTCAGAGGACTGTAGTACTTAATTTTTACCCTTCCGATTTCAAAATGCACTACTTCAGATTCGATAACTGGGACCCGCAATCAATTACTATGCAGCTTATTCGAGAAATTTCGAAATCTCATTTTAGGCCCAAGGATCCAAACTTTGCGTTACTAGATCGGTCAAGGTCTTTGACAAAATTGTTCGAGGAATATGGCAGCGAAGTGCAATATCTGTTGCTGGTCCTCCAAGAAAAGGGTTCCCAGAATGGCATCAGGACTTTGCTAAACCTTCTATCCTACCCCCAGGTAGCTGTGAGAATATTAGAAGACCGTAATATCTTCGCTAATTTTGGACTGAAACCAAATCAAGAGAAAATGGTACTGTTCCGCCGAAATGGAGCACTCCAGAGGGTTGAATGGAGTCCTGATGGGGAAACGGTAGGTAGGTATTTGGAAAGTCATGGCGTTAAAAAGGTTCGTTAAAACCAGAACTGAAATTGAACTGAGTGTTTGCTAATCTACACATTTCTCGCCTTTAGAGGACGCCTTCAGTTGGGGGCCCCAAAAATAATAAACAGCGATCATATCTATATGACGCGGATAACATTGAATTGCTGACCAATCGTACAATTTGGAAAGCTCTCAAGGCTCCGGCTCTAGGGAAACTGGTCCAATTCATGCGGCCTACCTGTGGTGCTTGTGTGTCATTCGCCCCCAAATTCGATGCTTTGGCACATCAGCTCAAAAGGTGGAACAGTGTTCTTCGCATTTACTACGTTAACTGCGATAAGGAATGGGATTTGTGTTCCAGCTTTAATTTAAAAGCAACGCCTACACTGCGATATTTTCCCTCACGCTTTGTTTTCGGAAAACAAGGATATGGACGGGACATTACTAAGCGAGAGCCGAAGGAAATTATATCAGCACTGGCCACATACTTGTCGAAGAACGATTTCAGCACCCGAGAACCTAACTTTTCGCCCCTAGAGTCGACCGACAACTTGACCACACTATTCAGGCCTTATGATCAGGCGCTGCAGTACGTGCTGATAGTTCTTCAAGAAAAAAAATCCACTTTGGGCTTTCATACGCTTCTGAATCTCTTGCCCTACACCGATTTGGCAGTTCGAATCGTGGAGGATCCGAGGTTATTTTTGAATTTTGGACTGTCGCCCAAACTAAAGGGTGTAATCTTGGGGAGAAATGGGTCCAAAGTGCCACTTTATTCCAAGTGTTGCGACGCTGATGAATTAAAGAAAAAATTCCTGGCCCTAAAGGGCATAACTAAACAGCCAAGCTAAAGCAATTCATTACATAACTTAAAGACATTAAAAATAAAATTAAAAATAGAAGAGAAAGCCTCTTGTTAAAGCATTTAAGCAACGTAACAACTTGTTATGGTTTTTAAAATTCCTTAAGCCTGAAATTCAGATTATGGGGTTTAATACCAATTATTAAGAACTAATTCTTACAAAAAAATTCCAGAACTCACAGTTTCTTTTGTGAAGTATAATAGTAAAGTTCTGTTCGAGATGCATGCTCTTCAGAAGTATCGAGTTTTGATGATGTCGTGGCTTTGTACGATTATTTTGGACCCAACCAACGGTCTTATAGAGGTAACGAAGAAGAAAAAGGATGTGGTTGCTTATCATTATCCTAAAAGGGCCAATACCCAAACAAAATCGATGCTGTTGGATGAAAATGAAGAAATAATAAAGAAGGTTTTGGATCATCCCAAGCAAATATATCAAGCTGACGTGGAAATGGCCATCCATATTCTGATGCATAGTGAAATTCCAAAAATAAAGATCATCAAGGGTAAGGCCTACGAGTCTTTGATGAACTTTCTGGCAGTCCTAGTGCATTTGAGTCCCATGAAATTGGAGAGAATGCATTGGTTTGACAAGTTAAAGGACATCCTGACTAACTCCAAAGGCGTCATGTTCGGCATCGAGTTCCAGGACCTGGTCTACGCCCACGAACTGGCGGTTGGGAAACTAATAGGCGCCGTGGACTTTGTGGGATGCCGCAGATCGGCAGCCTATCCCCGTGGCTTTAGCTGTGCCCTTTGGCATTTGTTCCATTACCTGACCGTGCAGGCCAGTTTGGTGAAGCCGCAGACATACAAGCCCGGCTACGTGCTGAACATTATTGCCTCCTTTATCAGATACTTCTTTCCCAGCTGCCCCGAGTGTTCCAGGACTTTCCAGGAAATAGCCGAGGCCCGGAAAGTCCACGAGGTGCGGGACTACGACGAGGAGATCCTGTGGATGTGGGAAGCCCACAATGAGATTAACAGGCACCTGGCGGGCGGCTCGTTGGAGGATCCGCTTTTCCCAAAAAAGCAATTTCCCACCGCGAAGAGCTGTCCAGACTGTAAGACCAATCATGTTTGGGACCGGAAAAAAGTGCTGAACCATCTGAAAGATATCTACGCGATGGAAAAACTAAGCAAACTTAATTTGATCCATAGACCTCCAGTGCCTCCACAAAAAGAAGGTCGCAAGAATCCCCCGAAGGGAGACAAAGACCACGAAGAAGATCACAAGGAGCCCAAGGAGGGTCACAATGAGCATGAAGATGGTAACAAGAAGCATGAAGGGAGTCATAAAAATTCCGAAAGTGGAGAGGTGAGTGATGGAAGTACCACCTCCACTACCGCAATCGACGATCACACGGAGGCATCTATCCATAAAAGGAGCAGAAGTAGGCATTCCCATAGAAGAAGCCGAGGAAAACGAAGTGCAGATTGTCCTTTTGTAAGCAACCGTCTCTATAGCCCATTGGATAACATTGAAATGTTAATCAGCGCCACCTATAAAGCGATCCTCGGAGCGCCGGGCTTTGCAAAATTGGTCCAATTCATGAATATTTTCTGCGAAACCTGCCGCCGATATGCGCCCACTTTCAAGAAAATTTCCCGAACATTACTAAAGTGGAAGCCCATTATTCGTGTCTACGCAGTGGACTGTGCCCAGGACGAGAGTGTAGAAATTTGTCGGGATTATAATATTACAAAAATGCCCAACATTCGGTTTTTCCCCCCGATTTTTTCAAAGGAGCGTGATGGTTTCGGAATTAATATCCTTCAGACGGAGCCAAACAAAGTGATTGAGGAGGTGAGAGGGCATTTGGTGAAGACTACCTACCCTGATGGCAGGGTAAACTTTAAGCCCTTGGGGCCAAATGAGAAACTGCCAGATCTCTTTAAACCTAAGGGTAACAATACCATCGACAAGGTTGCCCTGGTTGTTGAAAAAAAGGGCACGTGGGTCGGCAAACAAACTATCCTTGACCTTCTCCCATATCCCAGCGTAGGGGTTAGAATAGTGGATGTCCCTAATATTTTGGTGAACTTTAACGTCGATCCTATAAAAATAAATATGGTTGTTTTGGACCCACTAGGAGTTAAAAGAACAGTTTCCTCAAAGGACACCAGTGCCGACCATGTTAAAGATATTTCTTCCATGCTTGAGAGGGACGGTTACACACCTCTGCCCACTCCACCCACCACGGTGGCTCCTGTTGAGAATGAAGATTATGTGAATAAGGCCATTTCGGAACGCCTAATTTCGGGTCCCCTGAAGATCTATAGAGCCGACATGGAACAGGCCATCGACAAGCTCCTGCATATCGAACTACCAAAGGTCCAGGTAATCGAAGGGGACAAGCTGGTAGCCCTGAAACAAATAATCAGGCTATTGAGCAGCTTGAATCCGTTGAACAAAAATGGCAGAAACCTTCTATTAAAGATTGATAGTTATGTAAAAGATGCCACCAAAATCACGGGCGCCGAATTGGCTCAAAAAATTAAGATTTTAGAGTCAGAAGGGGGCAATAGTTTTGTTGCACGACGTTATGTAGGTTGCCTTAAGCCAGCCCTGAGCGCCTTCCCTTGCTCCCTGTGGACTATTTTCCACCATCTGACCGTGGAGGCTGCTAAATACCCGAAGATTTTCACGGCTGGCTCTGTTCTCCGGGCTTTATACGGATTTGTTAAGTACTTCTTTGGCTGTGCGACTTGTTCGACATACTTCCTGGAAATGGCCAAACGGAGGGGCATGGAATTGGTCAAAACCCACGCAGAGGAGATCCTCTGGCTTTGGGCAGCCCACAACGAAATTAATAAGAGACTGGCTGGAGATCCAAACGAAGACCCCAAATTCCCCAAGATTCAGTTTCCCTCAAAAAAGGATTGCCCACCATGTCGGAATAACAGGAACGAATTCATAGAGTCAGAAGTCTTGAAGTTTATAATTACTATCTATGACATAAAGCAAGTTAGCGGCTATGGAGTGCCCGATACCAATGTCTATTTTCCAAACAATGATTCAAATATTAATATAAATAATAATACTAACATTATTATAGTTCATCCCGGGAGGCAAGTGTAATATTTAAAAGATATATGTATGTCTTTAACACTAGAACCATTTTATAAAATAAAATTTTGTAAATATTGGTGAATATTTTAATATCTTTTTACTAGAGGCCAACGAGTTTTGGAAACTAGGTTCGGTGTTTTGATGAGTTTTTATCTCAGGTTGTTAAATTCGAATCGAATGTAAGATCACCAGGGAATGCCGAGTCTCTTAGATCATTTCTATGTCATTCTCTGGGTATACAGAAACACATTGTTCACCGCGGCCACCTTTTTATTATGTGATTTGAATACATAAATATGCTTTATTTTGAACTTTGAGAACGTAATCTGTAGATGTGGGTGCGCCTTTCAGGCAGGTAACCGAAAAACTTGTTCTGAGCGAAAGAGAGTCTCCGATTTGGGTTAAACGAGACAGACAAGGCTATAATTACCATATGGTCTCCGCCTTGCCACCAGTTTCTATATCCCACTGAACCAGTGAGCATCGAGTGGCGATGATTCGGCTACTGTTCTGCCTGTTGTTCCTTTCCCCCGGGCTGGGCTACAGAATCACTCAAAACGAGGCCAGCCTATACAACAAAGACGACAATGTGGTGATGCTGGACAGCGAATCGCTTCCATCGACTTTGAGCCTGAAGCCGGAGAGCAAGCTGGTGCAGTTTCTCAACAGCTTCTGTGGGGACTGCCAGCGATTCGCGCCGGTTTTCAAGTCCCTGTCCCGAGACCTGTACCAATGGCGAAGAGTCCTACGGATCTATGCAGTGGACTGTGCCCAGGAGAGGAACGTGGAGATTTGTAGACAATTCAACATCCGGCAAACGCCCACGCTGAGGTATTTTTCCTCGGAGCTCGCAGGGAAGGAGCTCGGCTTGGGTGTGGACATACCCTCTCAAGACCCGAAGGTCATTGTCTCAACTTTGGCGGATCTTGTGTCAAAGGATAAATTCGAATCGCCAGGTCAGCCTAATTTTGGATTCTTACAGCCCAACGAGACTCTAAGCTCATTATTTAAACATGATGGTCAGGCTTTCGTAGCCCTCGTCTATCAACCGAAAGATTCCCAGATTGGCAGGGATTCCATTCTTTCCCTATTGCCGTACGACCAAGTAGCTGTGAGAGTCTTTGGGGACTACCAATTGCTTTCCCATTTGGGTATACAGCCCTCCAATCGGACAGTATTCATGATTGATCGAACGGGCAAAACAGAGGGTCTCTCGGGAACTGAGGGCTACCAAGCATCCATTGGAAAGTTCCTTGAAAGCCTAAATTACAAGCCAGTGCCTCCATTACCGGAACCCACACAAACCGATTCCTCTGAATTTTTGGACCAACAAAAGCAGGCCATAATAGCGCAGGTGCTGAAGCAGCCTCGAAAGATATATCGCGCCGATTTGGAACAGGCCATCGACAAACTTCTGCATATTGAACTTCCCAAGGCTCTCTTCCTCCAGGGGGACAACTTCACGGCCCTGCACAGCTTCCTTCGGGTTCTTAGCCAGTTGAATCCCTTGAACAAAAATGGAAAGGTTCTGCTATTAGGCTTAGACAAGGCTCTGGCTGCTTTCAATGAAACCTCCGGATCTGAGTTTGCCGAGACTGTCGATGCGGTGGAAAAGCCACTTGCAAAAGTTTTCAAGGGAAAACGCTATGTTGGCTGTGTTGCCTCCAAGCCATTCCTGAGGGGGTTCACCTGCTCCCTGTGGAGTCTGTTCCACTACCTGACAGTGGAGGCGGGTCAGTCAGCGAACCAGCTTCCTCCGGGTACGGTCCTATCCGCCATTCACGGATTTGTCAAGTACTTCTTTGGCTGTACGGACTGCTCCAATCACTTCCAGGAAATGGCCAAGAGGCGGCGAATGGACTTGGTGAAGACCCACGACGAGGAGATCCTCTGGTTGTGGGCCGGTCACAACGAGGTCAACGAACGGCTGTCCGGCGATGCCACTGAGGATCCCCAGTTCCCGAAGATCCAGTTTCCCAGTCCAGAGAGCTGTGCTTCTTGCCGGAATAATGCCTCGGAGTGGCAGACCGGAGAGGTTCTCCGATATTTAAAGAGCCTTTATGGCAAGGATAATTTAAGCTTCTATGGCTTGCCCACCTCTCAAGGATACAATTGAGTTTGACTTTGGGCTTGGAAATATTAAATTAACTAGGCTTTCAACTTGTCAATTACTACTTTATTGTTTACTCATTTTGTTAACTTTTAAAACACAATTTTTTAAAAAGGACCAATTATTTTTTAAACATTTTATAATATCTTTAAGCCATATACATATATACCTTTTATGCAAGTGTTTTTAAATATACAAATATATGTTGTTTATAATGTGATTGTTTTAAATGCCACTAGTGGAGAATTTGAATTATTATGGTGTGTCTAGCTGAAGCGATTTCAATTGGTCTTGCCTACAAATACTCAATATTTCGAGACAGTATCCACTAGTTTCTGCAGATCCACGAGCCTATACGGAATCGCCCGAAATGGGGGCCATGTCATCAGAGCGTTTCCAATCATTAACTGCAGCCTTGGTCCTTATCCTTCTCTTTTCCGGCAAAGTCCATCCCGAGCACGGTTTATATTATGGACTGGACAATGTCGAAACTGTAAATTCGACTCAGTTGGAAATGGAATTTAACGACCCCAATACTGGAAAGTTGGTCCTGTTCTTTAACAACTTGTTCGGAGACAGCCAGCGGTATGTCCCCACTTTCAGAGACTTCGCCAGGACGGTGTACAAGTGGCGAAGACTCCTTCGAATTTTTGCTATCGACTGTGGCCAGGAACACAACGTGAATATATGCAGAATGTACGATGTGAAAAGGACTCCTTCGCTGCGCTACTTCTCGCCAAACCATCGAAGTAGGGCGGATGGCTTGGGCGAGTACATTGGCGCGTTAGGGCCTCCGGACCTTCTATCGGTGTTGAAGAATAAGTTAAAAAATATCAAGTCAACTCCCAAGCTGGGGCCAGTCTTCCACGAAATGGACCGTAGTGAGACGGTGAAGTCAATTTTTAGAAACTTCGGGTTGGATGTGGAGTACCTAGTACTGGTATACGATGAAAAACCTGGACGTTATCGCAATCTATGGTGGTGGAACTCACGTGATCCGTGGGGTCGGCACAGTAATGTCGAACCAATGCAGAACGATGCAGTATATGAACTGAATCCTACGGTTTTGCTCGACCTTCTGCCGTATAGGCAGGTGAGAGTGCGATACCTAGACTACATTTCTATACTCCGCAAGTTGAATGTGGTGAATGAAAAGTTGGCAATCGTAGATCGCTTCGGAAATGCTTTAGGACTCAGTCCAGACCGTCCCGATAAAGAATCATATGTGGAGGCTGTGCTAAAGATCCTCGACTTCGTCCATCAAACGCCCCAGCCTAGTCTCCTCTCCACAATTGCCACTGCACCGAACCAAGATTTTCTGGAAACTCCACTCCTTTCCCCCGGGCTGGACAACGGAGTCAATCAAAACGAGGCCAGCCTATACAACAAAGACGACAATGTGGTAATGCTGGACACCGAATCGCTTCCATCGACTTTGAGCCTGAAGTCGGTGAGCAAACTGGTGCAGTTCCTCAACAGCTTCTGTGGGGACTGCCGGCGTTTTGCGCCGATTTTCAAGTCTTTGTCCCGAGACCTGTACCAATGGCGGAGAGTCCTACGGATCTATGCAGTCGACTGTGCCCAGGAAAGGAACGTGCAGGTTTGTAGAAAATTCGACATCCGACAAACGCCCACGCTGAGGTATTTTTCCTCGGAGCTCGCAGGGAAGGAGCTCGGCTTGGGTGTGGACATACCCTCTCAAGACCCGAAGGTCATTGTCTCAACTTTGGCGGATCTTGTGTCAAAGGATAAATACGGGTCGCCAGGTCAGCCTAATTTTGGATTCTTAAAGCCCAACGAGACTCTAAGCTCATTATTTCAACACGATGATCAGGCTTTCGTAGCCCTCGTCTATCAACCGAAAGATTCTAAGATTGGCAGGGATTCCATTCTTTCTCTCTTGCCGTACGACCAAGTGGCTGTGAGAGTCTTTGACGACTACCAATTGCTTTCTCATTTGGGTATAAAGCCCTCCAATCGGACAGTATTCATGATTGATCGAAAGGGCAAAACAGAGGGTCTCTCAGGAACTGAGGGCTACCAAGCATCCATTGGAAAGTTCCTTGAAAGTCTAAATTACAAGCCAGTGCCTCCATTACCGGAACCCACACAAACCGATTCCTCTGAATTTTTGGACCAACAAAAGCAGGCCATAATAGCGCAGGTGCTGAAGCAGCCTCGAAAGATATATCGCGCCGATTTGGAACAGGCCATCGATAAACTTCTGCACATCGAACTTCCCAAGGCTCTCTTCCTCCGGGGGGACAACTTCACGGCCCTGTACAGCTTCCTTCGGGTTCTTAGCCAGTTGAATCCCTTGAACAAAAATGGAAAGGTTCTGCTATTAGGCTTAGACAAGGCTCTGGCAGCTTTCAATGAAACCTCCGGATCTGAGTTTGCCGAGACTGTCGATGCGGTGGAAAAGCCACTTGCGAAAGTTTTCAAGGGAAAACGCTATGTTGGCTGTGTTTCCTCCAAGCCATTTTTGAGGGGGTTCACCTGCTCCCTGTGGAGTCTGTTCCACTATCTGACAGTGGCGGCGGGCCAGTCAGCGAACCAGCTTCCTCCGGGTACGGTCCTGTCCGCCATTCATGGATTTGTCAAGTACTTTTTAGGCTGTACGGACTGCTCCAATCACTTCCAGGAAATGGCTAAGAGACGGCGAATGGACTTGGTCAGGACCCACGACGACGAGATCCTCTGGCTGTGGGCCGGTCACAACGAGGTCAACGAACGGCTGTCCGGCGATGCCACTGAGGATCCCCAGTTCCCGAAGATCCAGTTTCCCAGTCCAGAGAGCTGTCCTTCTTGCCGGAATAATGCCTCGGAGTGGCAGACCGGAGAGGTTCTCCGATATTTAAAGAGCCTTTATGGCAAGGAGAACTTAAGCTTCTATGGCTTGCCCACCTCTCAAGGATACGATTGAGTTTGACTTTGGGCGGCTTGAGCGGGTTTGGCATGCCTTACTAAACTACAATTTAAATAAAATCTTACATTTTTTCAAAATAGGTGTGAAAAAATAAATGCGAGTCAAATATTTTTTGTTCAAGACGTAAAGACATTTTCACTTCGCATCAATTACCTTTTAGAGTTTATTTCGGGGAAAGCTGGTTTTGGATGAGCCTGCTATGGCTACCATGTTGGTCAAAATAAAATCAAATCGATTACTATATAAATTATACCTTTGTTTATTTTTCTCCCATTAAGATATTTTGCAAAAGTTTTGTGCCTAGGCAGAGAAAATTGTTGAGCCCCACGCACATACCTATTTACTAAATTAAGCGTTTAAATTAAATGAAGCGTCATGTGCCCCCGCCCCCAGAGTCCTGGCAGGAGTTTAGCAAACTGACCTGAGCCAAGGCAATGGCAAAGGCATTGCTACTCGTATTACGGCGATTACCCGCACATCAAACCGAACCGTATATTAAATTATTTATAGAACATTTTTGCAAAATATCTACGCACTAATTTGCGTAAAGTAATCGATGTGGTGGAAAAATTTTCACGCATGCACACGTGAGGCGTGGTGGGTGGGGGTGCGCCTGGGGGCGGGGTTTTCGCTGCAAGCCGAGTGGCTATTCGGGGGTTGGAGTTTCGGGGTTGGGGATCAGCCGATTGGGTGGCCGTTCAGTCATGCCCAAATAAGCAACGGCAAACGGAAGCTAAAAATTACCCTACCCTCCCTACACCCACTCCGACTCCTACTGCCCCTGGTGCAACGCCCACAAAACTTTCTTCATTGTGCGTAAATCGGTGCCCCTTGCAACCGCCTGGGCTGCCTGTCGAGCTAAAAGAGTTAACGCAACGTAATGATGTGTATGTAAAATTTATAATATACATAAATAAATAAAATGCACGCAGTTTGGGTTTGGTGCACTTTATCGATATTTTCTCTTTGTGGCACCTTTGTGGGTCTGGGACTTGGGGCTTCCCGTACGCGGTTTGGGTTGCAAGTAAAATGCCAAGAACGAGCACAACTGTACCACGCATGATTTTTGTGCGTGTCCGCGGAAATGAAAGGTTCTGAAACTACGGCAGGCCGCCAAGGCAAGCTGTAAATTTTCGACCGGAAACGGAACCGGAAACCAGCGCCCATTTGTAGCATTGAATTGCTGAGCCATACATCTTTCCTGCGTTTCGAGGTCCGGTCCGGTCCAAAATCGGGCTGTGCGTAGAGTGCGTAAGATATGGTCGAAATCTAACAGCAAACGGATATTGTGGCTTTTTGTCTTGCGAATTTTTCCAAGGATCCCCTTTGGAGCCCTTGGGCCGAGGAAATTGCCCTAATTGGCCACCAAAAGATTTGCATAACATAATTGCCAGCCGGCGCGGCAGAGATCGCGCTCTATAACCGACATTGTGGCATGACTGCATATTAACCAAAAACAACAGCCCGGCCAGAATTATGCACAAATTATTGTTTAGGCATTTAAATTACAGCAACAACGGTGGCGTTGTAAAAATGCAGGGAGTTCGCGAAACGAAAACAATAAAATGCCAGCTGAAGAAGCATCGGCGTTGTTATAATTATGTAAAAACAGTCTAAAGATTGACTTGACTTCTATACCCACTCAAGCACACACACAACGAAGCATACACTGAGAGAAAAGGCAGAAACTATTAATATTCTGAGAGCTTAATATTCTGAAAATCGCTCTTGTCAAGCCTTGTCCCTCAATTAATTTTAAAAAAACTAAATAAGTTCAAAATGAAACTCTAAAAAAGGTATGCCATTTTTTTTTTCAGTGCCTAGCTGAACCTGGCATGCAAAGCCAACATAAATTTTTAGGGGGGATACTGGGGGGGTGGCATTGCAACAGCAACCCAGTAATTATCAGTACCTTAGCGGCAAGCAACATTGTCTGTGTATTTTTCTATCTCGGCTACCGGTCCGCGTACCGCTGTGTCTACCACCCACTCCTGCCACTCCTCCCAGCCCTGCCACCACCGCTGCCAGCCCCCAGCCCTATCCCTATTCGCACGCAAAAAATGTAAAGTGAAAATATTTTTTAAGGCACTTGTTCGAGGAGTAGGGTGGGACGCGGCTTCATCTAAGCCGTGTGGAGGGTTCGGTTCCACTTTGCCGTTGGCTGGAGTCTTGCCCCACTCCCTATCGTCTACTATGCCGAACTTGAGCAATTTTTTTTAATTCAGCTACATATAATTAAAAATAACATGAAATGAACAAAAAAAATAAATAAATAAATGAGGCAACAGTAAGCGAAAAAATGGGGTTACCTAAAGATCAGAGATGCTGCATAATTGATTTTATAAAAAAATGTATATTCGTTTTTAGCTTTTAATTATAATTTTAATTTAATTAATTATATAAACAGACTAATCTAAATTGTAAAATGTAATAATTGTAACTGGCTGTCATTTTTTATTCGTCAGTGTAGGTCCAAGGAGTGCGCCTTAAAGCCAAAAAATGTAAAAAAATAGAAATAATATTATTTGGCCAATTTTCCACATCTTGCAACTCATCTTAAGTATTTTCGGCAGCCCTATTGAGCTCCACTTGAAGCTAATATGGCTAATATGGAAGCTCGTCGACCAAAAAGGGCTAAAAAATATGCCAAACCGAATGCAATTTGGCAACAATTTTCCCAAAGTTTGTTGCCACAACCCAGCAATGCGGCTGATGCCTGCCACTCTGCCCCAATCCTATCCCCCCCTTCCCGTAATCCCAGTATCCCTGGCCTACCCCTCCTTCAGCTGTTGCCACAAATTGCGGCAGCGCGTAATTAAAACAATTTGTGCATAATTTTTGTACAAGTGCAGCCGAAAGCCGTACCCAAGGCTCCAGCCCTCGCCCTCGCCCTCAGCCTCTGGCCCGCCCCTTTTGGTGGGCTTTTAAATAATAATTTGCTTAGTTTATGAAGTGCCCAAGTGGGTGTGCGTGTGTGTGTCTGAGTGGGCGAATGAGCTACATAAACAGTTCTACCCCCCACAACCCCACTTTTGCATTTTCTTCTAGTTGCTGCGCACAATTTACTCACTTGGTTGCATTTTAACATATTTCGTTACGTTTTTAGCCCGGCTCGGAGTCAATTGTTGTTGTTTTTTCAGTTGGCTGGCATGCATTTTTTTTGTTTTATTGTTTTTGTTATTCCATGTTTTTTGTTGTTAATTTTTCTGTTTTTTGTAGCACTCACCTTAGGTTTAATTTGTTTGAGTTTCATGCAACTGCCACTGCCTACTGCTGCTGCCGCATCGGCTTCAGAGCTTCAGCTTCTGTTTCTGTTGTGAATTTCACGTGCATCTGCCGAAGCTCTGGCTCTGACTCTGGGACTGGCCCGCAACTGCCTTCTTTCTCCCAAGTCGAAAAATATTTGTGCACGCAAAAAATGTTAATTGCCACAGCAACAGTGGCAGCAGTAGCTACAACAGTGGCAACATCATCAGCAAAAAAGCGAACCATCAATGCGGCGGGGCATTAAAATATTTAGGTTGCAATTGCCTCTTCCTATTCCTCTTCCCAAGCCCAAGTTCCAGTTCCAATTCCCCCAGCAGTTGCCACAGTCTCTCTGGCAGTCCCTCAAACTCTAGTCCGAAACCCAAACTCCAGCCCAGAACCCGACTCCAGCTCAGAGTTGCTGCCGTTAATGCAACTGCAACTGTAACAAATTGCAATGTCGCACATCTGTCTTTCCTGGCGTTTGTCGTTGCCTAAAAAAGTTATGAAAAAAATGTATGTATTCGCTTCTCTGGCCGAATTTGCAATGCCCTTTTCTGCATTTTCTAGTGTATGCAATCTCATTAAAATATTTTAATATAAAAGTTAAGTAATTGCCCTTGAAACCTATTTTGCTCATAAAGAAGTTGATGGCTCTCTGCCCGGCTAGGGTATTAAGAAACATAAAAACATCTACATGTCCCGGCCCTGAATGGAAGCTTAGACCAGAGTAGAGCACTGGAGAGGAGTCCAGACCCACGGACTCATATTTATTTTTGTTAACATACAAAAAATTGTCGTTTTCCTTGCAAGTTGTTTTTTGTGGCTTTGCTCTTGTTTTTCTTCTTTTTTTTTTTAGTTTGTTGGCTTGGCATTGGCAATGCCAATTACCGGCGACCGGGAACCCTAGCAATTTGGCCATATCCGGCCCCCATGGCAGCAGTGCCAGCGCTGGGCCGAAAGGAAAAATCAGGTTTTCCTTAACTTGTCCAGCTGAATGTTGGACGAGCTCGATTTTAGCTATCGGAGTTATATATTCCTTCCCCTTCGGTCTTCCTGTTTCAGTATTTTTCGACTTGGTCTTTTCAGTTTGAAAGATCATAAAAATTAATAGAAAAGAGTTTCAATTTGCGAGAGGAAAATGGCTAAATCTGTTGTTCCAGGGGAGGCTGAAATCAAGGGTATTTAGGTGAGACACCTTGGCAGTCATTAGCCACATTTAGTGGCCTGATGATCATGGCTTTTACGGCCGCAGTGATTCCTCTTGGCCGTTTCTTTTCGTTTCTGTAGTTTTTTTTTGTATCTTATTGTAACTAATGAATATGGAACTTGAGTCCAAGGAGGAGAGTCTGTGTTTCTTGTCATGTTGAGGCTGCGGCTCAGGCTGTGGCTGCGGCTATTACAAGATTTGAGTTGTCGCGCATTTTGGACGCGTCATGCGGCCAGTTTCTTTATTTTTTCTGATGTTTTTGTTTTTGTCCGTGCCACACATTGCCGCACGATCCCAAGTTGGCAAATGTGGCGCGCAGCATTTAAACAGCAGTAGCTGCAACTGCAACTCCGACTCCAACTGGCAGCACCACAAAAAAAAATGTCATAAATAAATTGCTTAGCAACATTTGCTGACGCGCCAAATAAAATGCCATAAATGATCGAATGCAGAGAAAGATTTTTAGTTAGACACTAGAAACGCTGATGAAGATGGAAACGGAGATTGAAGCTGGAAGTTGGATGCTGGATACTGGATGGAGATTGGTGATGAAGATGGCGATGGACATGGAGATGGAGATGGCTTTGGCAATGGACTTGGACTTGGGGAGTCGTCTGGATGGA